AAAATAATGACCTGTAAATATCAGAGATATTACAAACCTGTACAGGCTTGATATTCTGTAACTGCTGCTTAAGTATGTCTCTTATCCACTTGTATATTTCTATTGCGAGGGTTTTAGCCTATAAAATGAACCATAGCAAGCACAATTATAGTCACACTATGATACATGGAAGTCACTTTAATCAGTACCTACAGTTCTTTTCAAGGATGGTTGGCAGAAAAATGCACAGAAATACCTGCAACAATTCTGAAAACTAATATCCTGTCCCTAGTGCTTCCTTTGTATGGCGACAATCTTCGATGTCATGGCAGGCCATATGTGTAGTTTTTGGAATATAGTGCAGATGAAATGGTAGATATTGAAATTCATTGATCATTTCCCGTTTGTAATTTGGTACTCTTTTCAAACAACTATTCTCAATGCAGCCATCTAATCAAATAAAAGAACAAATTTATTCATATTTGGGCACAAACAAACCAACATGTAATATGATCCACAAGTTTTTCTGAGAAATCAAACTTTGAGAGCAGCTTTTCAGAGAGTGCATTCCTGTTAAGCTTACTGATCTGCAGGGAAATGGTTTGTTTTATGGACCTGATTTAACCCTAAACAAGTAAAAATGAACTTTAAACCCTGTTGAAGTGTAATCACTGAAGTACACTGTATCCTGACAGAAAGAGACTAAAGACAGTTGACTCACCTCTTCTCTGACCATTTTATCATTGTGATCAAACAGTTTGGGCAAAACTTTGACAATAGGTTTCAGACTAAAGACTTTACCACCAAACTCACTATTGAGAGAGAAAAAATAATTTATGATCATTGCCTGCTCCAAATTTTGTCAAATATGTTCTAACACTGAGAAAAGATCATCTAAATATCTTTTGAGCCTAAACCCTTGGTAACCACCATATCAGTGGTCTAACAGAAGTTTGTGGCATCTTGACCTATCAATGTTCAGTTTGGCAACTGACAATTTGGTAAAAACCTAAGGCCTGTTCCTTAATAGCCCTTTAGCTCCCAGAATCCTATTAGTAATTAACCTTACTGTCTGATATACAATTTTTATGACATTAATAGGGTAATTTAGTATTATCAACTGAGTTGATAACGTAATTGGCCACCATTATGTAATCAGTTCTGTTGATAATACTAAATTACCCTGTTATACCCTCCCACCGACGCAGCACCACAGTTCCTTAAGAAACTTATCCCCTTTATTCATTTGTTTTATGATGTTAGTTTGGAGAATTTGGTTTTAAATTAATTACTAATCCCAAAATTGATGTTGTTTGTTATTTTCATCACTTGTCTGCTAGATGTTGCATTGATATTGTAAGGGGAAATTCTGTCTTGGTCAGTCATGGGAGTTACATGTAAAGGGTTAACCCTTTGACTCCCAAGATCTCATTAGTGAGTGTCCTTACTGTCTGCCATACAGTTCTTGTAATGTTAGTTTGGAGAATTAGGTATTGGATCAACTTATAATCCCCTGATTGATATTTTTCTTTATTCTCATCACTTGTGTGCTTGATATTGTCTTGATATTGTAGAGAGAAATTCTGTCTTGGTCACTCATGGGAGTTAAAGAGTTAAAAGTACTGATAGATATCATTCCATCAGGACTTTTACCTTATCATTTACCTTATTGCTTGACGTAACACACCAGTACAAGCTGCAACAATTTTTGGCTGTTTGTTTTCGAGTCCCTTTAAAACTTCCTCCTAAAATAGAATAGGTATGAAGAGAAGATGATACCCTCTAAATCCTGCCAATCAATTTACTGCATATTACCCTTATCAGTAACATTACTGCTGAGAATTAGGAATTTTGGACAAAAATTTTGCAAGCTCTGCATCTGAGCCCTGACTGGGTGATTGTGTTGTGTTCGTAAACAAGAAATTTTACCCTCACATTGCATCTCTCTCCACCCATGAGTGGAGGATACTAGCAAACTGTCAAGGAGTAGGAGATGTGGTGACCTGACCCTTGGCACTCTAAATACTCTGAGTCAACAAGTCCAAGTTTAAGGCCTGACTAGGTCACTGTATTGACTTCTTAGGCAAGATCCTTTACGCTTACACCCCCTTTCTCTACTCAGGAGTATAAATAGATAACTGTTAATGGTCAAGGAAGCCTTAGAAAATCCTGGGGAAGGGATAGGTGGTTACCTTTGATCAACCACCTCTTCACTAAGGAAATGTGTACATACTCCAAGTCATTACATGTAACAAAATTGAAGGTTAACAAGGAGTTAGAGGTTACTTGGCTAGGACCAACCCCCCCACCCCAAATGCATAAACAGCAGAGAATCTGAGTACTAAACATTCTGTATATTGCATGTGCCAACAAATTTTACAGATGTTTTGCCAAAGGCTCCAAATTGTATTAGAATACCAACAATAAAATCATGCAAAATCATTTCAAAAGTAAGGAGAGACACCATCCATTTCACTTACTTGAACAACATCTTGCTTCTCAACTTCTATGTACATCAAAATTATGTTAATCCCTTTTTCTTTGGTTTTTGGTCTTGCATTCAGACACTTAGTGACCACTCCTGCTATCAAATCACCAGCAACCCTTGAATGAAAGTCCACATCAAGAAATGTTAAATGCCGTCATTGTCTCTTGTCAGGGTGAACACTATGTACTTCCTACTCTAAAGAACATGAGGTCCTTAAATTTGTCCAATTGTCATACTTCTGGGCTCAGGGCTCTGGGCAACACTTTCTTTGTTTCTGCCTTAATTCATCATTGTAATGACATTCTCAACCTGGTGCCCACACTACTGAAGAGGCCTTGTGTTGTTACTAACAGACTTCTAAAAATCGCTGAATCTCAGAAATAAGTCATCCAGCACAACTTTAATCTTTTGTCAAAAATTCAAACCCTGTACACCAATTGCATCAGGTCCTTGATTTCTGGTTCTTCTACAATAGAAATCAAACTTTGAGGTTTGACACTATCATTGGCAATATTTTATTATCTAAAAAACATTATAGTTAATAGCAGTGAGGCTTTGATTACCAGGTGATTGAGTTCCCATGAGAAATTTTAAAAACATTGATCCATACACGCATGAATTATATTATCAAAGTTGTAATTATGCCGAATTTATCATATTCAACCAGTATAATAGGCATTAATTAGAAGCTCTCTTGTCTTGGAAAGAGACTGAAATTAGGTTGTTTTATATTGTACTTTCGCCAAAATAACCCATATCATGCTGTCTAATCGATGGCAGATTTGTTTACTACTTGAACACCTATTCAAATTAAAGTTTTATCGCGTTCGATTAAAATACTTGATTACAATGATTTAACGTTGAGAAAGAAAAAATCAGGAGGGACTTACCTTCCAGAAATCGAAGGAGAAGCAGCTTCTAAAAAAGCTAATACTGCTTCAAGACCCTTCTCTTGGGCAACAGCATTATTATCGATGACAAATTTCTTCAGCATTCCGAGATACTTGTTGAATTCATTGCTACTTTCATCGTCAATCTTTCGATAAATTTTCACAAGCTCTTCGTAGCCGCTCAACCTCGCTTTCCACACCTAGAAGATGAAAATACCATTTTCACATAAGCTCTAAACTTCCCTATCATTTCCAAAATATTGGATTTGAGCAAGGCGCGAAATTCATTCACCTTGTGACCTAAACGATCTTCGAGCGGGAGCTTTGTAATATCGGCATCATCTGCCATGGTGTATCGTATATTTTTCAAACGAACAAATGTATGCACAAGTACAGCTCGTAATCCTTTCCCAGAGCGTGGCAAAATAAAATTTTGTAACGTTAACTCCGCTGCACTTTGCAACGAACATTTGAAATGGCCGACTCAGACAGAGCACGTGATCAATAAGAACCAATCACTAACATGCTACCAAAGCAATGATATCATGTATGGAAGTGTAAGACTCATGAAATGTCACATAACAAAGTAAGTCTAAGAGATTCGATGAAGGACATAAACAATGACTTGCTGGGTCTTTCAATTTAAGCGTCAAGTTTTCTTATCTCTTTTTTCTGACCAGGAAAATCATATCCGTGCTTCTTTATAACTTTATTTGGGCGATATTTTCTCTAAGCAAGAAAAATTTAAAATAAGGGTCCACGCGAGAAAACGCGCGAGACAAGGGTAAGTGGAGATGCGAGAACTAGGGGTCTCTTCTCACCGAGGGGATGGGGGCCGGAAGGACTCTATGAACCACTGGATTTCAAAAAAATAAATAGAAAATGAATGCCTAGGCACTCAATCACCTCAAAATCAAAGAGATTGGAAGCGTGTGTCACAAAGTTAGGTCTGGTAAGTACAGTAGTTCTGTACTTACATTTCCGTTATCTATCACAAATTATATAATAAGGTCAGTTGTGCACGCTTTCTGATTGGTTTTCACTTATAATCTATCGGAGGACAGACATATAGATGACATCATCATTAAAACTTTTGTTAATTCTTTATTATACAAAACAGATAGATTCCAAGTTGCCATGCATCTGTTCAGTAATAGATCACAGAGGACGTCAAAATGTGGTAAGAACATCAGTGACACACTCGGCTGTGCCTCATGTGCCACTTTTTTGTTCTTACCACATTTTGATTTCATCTGTGATCTATCACTGAACAGATGCACGGCAACTTGGAATCTATTTGTTAAAAAGACTAAATATCCTTTACATATAAAACTTAATTTTTTCTTTTTCTGACAGAGGGACCATCTGCCTATTCAGTTTTAAGAAACAACCTGGTTCCTTTTGGGGATAAACTGATTATGGAATATAGTCAAATGCCTGTGGGTTGCCCCTGGGGGGGAGGGAAGGTGGGGGGGGGGGGGTTGTTGAAGCTACAAATTTATCAGAGCATTATTGTAAACCCATACTAAACAATTCACAGCAAAAAACTGGATGTGTCAATAACATTTATTTGTGTTGTCAATAATCTGTCAAAGAAGTAATCTCATAATAAAATAATTGTACAGTAATTTTTTGATAATGCTTTTAAAAATACATCTTAAAGTGCACCATATGTGATAATTATTAATTTGGAGGAAAAGAGTCAACTTTGAGACTATAATTGTATTCTGAGTAAGGTTAACTGTAATAAATTACCCCAGGAGCACTTTTTAATAGAAGCTCACCAAAAAGTGAATGTAATTATTTCACGTAAAAAAAGGATATTGCATAATCAGTAGCAAAAGTTTTGTGAACAGATCACAGGGTGTAATATATTATGACCAAGGCAAGTCAGTGTTACCTTACATACTTAATGAAAAATACTCTAACTGCTTTTACGTTGATTTGCTTTACAAATGTAACACAGTACATAGTCATCCAGGAAGTTCAATGCTAAATCAAATCAGTGGTACACTTGTTTCATTGCTATCATCATCTGAGCATGCAATGGGCAGTTAATTTGAGTACCATTACAACTAAATTCAAAGGTGTCACAACAGCCAATAACAGCCTTAAAAAAAAATAACACAAGGTACATTCACTGGGCAAAGCAACCAAAATCAATGAGGGTAATTCCAGATGACTTTCAATAATTAATTGAGAATTACCCTCACATTGGTAAATGGATCATCCCAATTATTTTGTACAACAGAAATAAGGAGAAGGTTTAAGTGAGGAGAACAAACACATTGACATTATCAAATAAATACTTTGAAAATTTTTATAGCTGGGTATATGCCCGAGTGTCAAATATTTAACAAGGCCTATAAGCCCATAAGTGACACAAAACAAAGTTCAATTTGCAATAAAATTAAATCAAATCAACCCCTTATACCCTAACATTGGTATTGGTATTCTCCAAAGTGTTCTCTTTACATTTCCTATGGTACTGACAAGGAGAATTTGTTTTGACAATCAAGAACTTCTTAACCCTTTAACTCCCAGAAGTGATTAACATAAAACCTCTCCCTACAATAACCATACATTATTCAGCCAACAGGTAATGAGAATATTCAAAGTTATCAGGTAGAAGCTGCTATCTTGATCTAACACCAAGTTCTCATAACTAATTTACAAGGAAATGTGTAGCAGCTAGAGGGGAGAATTAACAATCAGATCTTGGGAGTTAAAGGGTTAAATTGGTGACCCTTTCTTTTATACTTGTGACTTTTACATTTGATTTATTGGTGATACTGTAAGGAGAAACTAGAAGGCAGACACTCTAAGGGGTTAAAGGTTTATCAATCAAGATAGTTACAAGTATTAAGCATACATGGTGACCAGGATGAAATTTCAACATCCTTTTTTATTTTCAGAAATGACTTCTCCCTATCTCCCTACAACTTCTAAAACAGAAGGATGAATTCTTAGTTATATATCTTTTCAGTAGGAGTAGAAAGCAGCTCCTCTGTATGAACCAAGGCAAAGAAGGTGTCAGAGAAAGATAATGGCTCAAGGAGTAAAACTTAGGAAACATTCAACCCTGCAAATATCCCCTTTAAATTGCTATCAACATGAGGGTTGTGTATACTAAATACATTTGGGGAGGTTAAGTTATCCAAATTATCCGAAAAATTGGAAGTATCAATTTCATGCATTGGGAGCCAAACCATCAGTGCTGTAAGGGTTTTCCTGTATTGAAGGAAATGAAGGATGTCCATTTGTACTAGTAGATGACACGCCACCATAATTAACCTCACCATTCAATTCTCTGTTATGTGGGGCAGGAATGTAGCAGTCTTTGGCATCAACATCAGAGCGGTAACGCTTTTGCCTCCAAAGTGCCAGTAGAGGAATACAAAGGGCAGTTGTCACAAATGTGCACCAGTTAATCCATCTCAACCCAAACTTTGGCAGCATTGGAAAGATATAGAAAACAACTTGCAGGAAATTATTGGAGAATGTAAGAAAACCTGAAGTGATTCCCTCTGCAACTGGGTACGTAGATTCCACTGCTAATTCAAAGAACAAAGGAATTGTTCCATTTACAAACAGTCCTCCCAGGATGCTGGTTACAAACAGGACCACTTTTGAGTATGGAAGAACACCAGCACAAATCAGAGTAAATATCATCAGTGATACTGTGGCACCAGTCAAGAGTGCTATAACAATCAGCTTCATGTAACGAGTGAAGTGGTCTGCAAATCTAAGGAAACAATATTACCAATAAATTGTAAGTGAATACTAACACAAATCAACATAGCTTTGGTATTTTGTTAACCCTTTACACCCCAACATAGTATGCATATTCTCCATACTGTTCTCATTACATTTCCTGAGGTGTCGAAAAGGATAATTTCCTTAAAAATCACAAGCCTCTTTAGTTGGTGACCATTTCATATATTCTTGTGACCTTACTGTTTGATTCAAGGCTGATAAGTTAAGGAGAAATTAGACATTAGTAACTCTTGGGGGTCAAAAGGCCTACATAACCTAAACCACAAGTGTCTTCACAAGTGTAACAATCAGAGATTCACACTGACTGGGCCTCATTTTAATTCCAGTCCATTTTTTCTCCAAACAAAAATGGTAAAGTTTATCTAGGTTTTTCTTACATATTGTCTAGTTCTTAACCACTTTACCCTCATGATCTCAATTAAAATTCCCTTTACTGTCTGCTACACATTTTGTTGGGATTTAGCTCTGGGAATTTGGTAATAATCAAGTTTGTTTTCCTTTCTTTTTGTCACCCCTTTGCATAAAAATGTAAGAACAATGTAAAAATAAATTCCTTTTTGATCACTCTTGGTTGTAAAAGGGTGAAATAAATGTACAAGTGAAATGAGATGTTATCTCTTTTTCACTGATATACTGTCTTCTATCTGCCTTAACTCTTTGACCCCTCAGAGTGACTAACATCTAATTTCTCCTTACAGTGTCACCCTTGAATCAAATGTAAAGGTCATGAGAATGTGGGAAATAATAAGAAACTTAAGAAGCCTCTGATTGGCATAATTATAATCCCCTTTATGAAATAGGTTGTTGTTCATCGTGGTTGCTGGATGATGATATAATATGTTCTGTTGTCTCATAACAAAGTTGCTAGATGTTGATCGCGACATTTTGACTGTTTACTGCAAGTCTTCTTCAGGCTATGGGGTCAACTGGTTCCGGCACAGCATTATGGTGCATTTTGATCTGGCTGTTGTTTCTGTGTACCATGGTTTCCTAAGGCATTCATTGATTAGTCATGCTTTGCTGGCTTTAATGTTTTCTAATTGTTGGCATCCACACTTAATCTCCATCTCATTATCTTAGAAAATGTGTAAAGAACAGTATGGAGAATATGCATACTGATTTTAAGGTGTACAGGGTTAATGACTGGAAGGCTGAAAGCAATCCATACACTCTTGTCACAGTTCTAAGTCTCTCTGCTGATTACCAGATACAAGAGGCAGATTGACTAAGCCGTCAACTAAACTTGCATCATGTAAAACCTTCTACGCATAACAATATAGTACTTACATTGAGAGGGAAATTCCTGAGACTGATCCAGCAACAACAGCCCCAAATCCCAACCATCCAGCTGTTTTCTGATCAATGTGGAACTGTGAGAGATTAAGATCCAATATCGAGCACCAACCGCCATAGACTCCGGTTCCCATACCATAAATAAAAACCAACAACCAGAACTGGCCATTCTTCAGTAAGTTCTTGGCACCGATTTTAAATTCCAGCCGTCCCATAGCAGCAGTAACACTTGGTGGTAGCTTTGGCTTCTCAGGAAAATGGATGATAACAAAGAGCATCGTTATAGTAGTGATCCCCACCTCAGTGTACATGAGATTCATGATTTTATCTCTCAAATGGTCAATCTCACTCTGGTTGAAAAGCTTTCTTAAAGCCAAATAGTCAATCCCTGAGTTAGTGGTTAAATTTTGTGCAGCTTTCATATCCCCTACATCTGGAACCATAAGGGGTCCAAGAATAAAAGAAAGTGCAGTTCCACTATAGCAGGCAAGGGAGGAAATGGCTGTAGCTGTTGTTCGCTGATCTGGAGGAAACCATGCTGCAGACACCATTGGAGCTGCTGCCATGGCAATGGGTCCTCCAATTCCAGTTATGAATTGTCCACAGTGGATGAGCCAAGTTTGAAGGGTAACATGCTCATCATTAAGGGGTATACATCGCAGACCTGCTCCAATGAATTCACAGAAAACAGCCGCCAGAACAGCTACTCTTAAACCTAGAGAATAAAGAAGCAAAAAGGAGGAGGATGTACAGTTACAACCACTACACAATGAATAGATCTTGTGTTCCTGGCAAATCCACCAGTTCAAAGTTTACCAGTTGCCCAATGGTCAACTTTTATGGACTGACCAGGATCCAGTTGTTCAAAGGGCCAGTAATGCTATCCAATGAATAAATCGCCATCCAGGGGATGAGCGTCAACAAAACATATTGCCATAGCCATCAGATAGAGATGGATCCAATGAGTAGCATTATTCACCTCTGGAAAAACGGGTACCAGAGGTCAGATGAAATCTCAGTTCATATGTTGGCTGATTACCAGAGTATCATCAAGTCACTTAAATTTTTCTTAACTTCAGATCAGTCCTATAAATTCTCGTTGGCCTCGTAACATATTTCCTTCGTTGTGATCGACTATTACGAACACTTTGGCTTTGCTTTCAACACTCAGTTGAAAAGATCTCTACCACATAAAAAAAAACCTACGAACGTACAACAGATCATTACAGTGCTTCAAGAAATCACACAAACTGTAAAAGAATAACATGCTATCGCTTGGAATCTTACAATCTAACTTTTAACTTCATTATAACTCTTTCTTCCAATTACCTTTCATATCCATAAGCCAGCACATTGGTATTACTGTGACCACGAACGAAATTGGACCCCAATCTGCAAGCAACGTTATGGTCGTACTATCCCAGCCAAACACCACTTGTGAAGTGCCTTGTATGGGTCCCCACGTATTCCAGATCAAATTATTCAACGCAGCAACGACTGAGAAGACTGCCAAAATGTACCATCGCCGCTTGTAAATTTTGCATTTATTCTGGTGAACAGATCCCATGGATTTGTATCGGCGATCATCAGAACGAAGCAATGCTGCTCTCTCCTCGAAGGATTTCCCTTGGTTCATTGTGATTGCGAAGCCAAAAGACAGGCAAATTACAAAGTTTCTCTTTCACTTTGCGTTTGAAAAGGCTTCTTGATTTTTTGGAAAGGTTTCTCTTCCGCTGTTTCCGGTTTTTTGCACAGAATTTTAGGACCCGACCGGCGTCCCAAATATAGCTTCAAATGAGAAAGCATGCACTACTTTACTTGGAACAACGTAAGCCCTTTTTCCTCTCCCTCTGTAATAACCTTAGTGCAGAATTACACCTTGAGGGCAAGGAAAAAAATCAGTAGCGAAGGAAACTTCTTACTTTACCGCCGGCGAGTTCACAGTATTTATATCGTCATGTGATCACCGTTCAGGAAAGACTCTGCGGGGGAGGACAGGGTAAGAATATAATATGACTTCACTTCGTTTCAACTCGCGCGCGTCAACTCCAAGTCACGCGAGATAACATTTCTTTTCGTCTATTTCAAAGACGACAAGCCAAGGAGAGCTATTTAATATGTAAGTGATCGAAAAGTAAAGAAAAACTTGGTTTTATTCTCGCGTTTATTCCCGCAAGTGGCTAGCTCGCCTTGGGTCACGAATGCACACAGCGCACTTGATGCGGGAAGGCAGCGAATCAGTACCTGTTTGAGATTTTCCTTTGGGGTTTTAGTCTTTCTTCCTTGACTTCATCCTCAATTAATAAATTCCATTTTCTTTCTTCGTTTGCAGTTTAGAGAATTAACTAGGAAACTGAGGGGTTTCTCGGTTCTTTTCTTTTCTTTCCTTTTTACACACTGAAGTGTTATGAGCGGCCGTCACCGCCAAAAATACAGGCAAAATGTATATGGTTTGTAATGAACGGAAATGGTCTAATTGTCTTTTGGAGAACGGTTTATACTATTTCAAGAGATTTATTTAAAATGCAAATGGACAAATATTGTTACGTGTGACCGTGGTAAAATGCATCATTTTACGCAACAACACATTTAAAGTCTAGGCAGTCAGAACCATAGCTAGGAAACGTGATAAAGCGATTCATTGTTTTAAGACGACGAAACTACGACTAAAGGGCGCCTAAAAACTATAAAAACTAAAGGGTTGGGACGTAAGACCCGACATAGACTATTTCATTTCAAGCTTGACTTGTCCATTTCACTTTTTTTATTTTTAGCGGTTATGGCGTAAACCATCTGCTCTAATACTAAACCATTTCGGTCTGTACTAAACCATTTGTCGTCACGCTAAACCATTTTACTTTACGGTGAGTAGACTGGTGCGATACTAAGCCATTGCGGCTTACGATTAACCATTTGCCGATAACTTAACACTACTCTGAACCGTTTGTGTCAAGTCACTGAGTCAAAGTACAGTTAGCTCAACTGTTTGTCATTTCGACACTGAACCATTTCAGTTAACACTTGGCCAATCGTGTTTTTATTGAATCAATTCAAAAACACCCAGTTTCTGAATTGTATAAACCATTTTTTGTTTGAATATTTCATTTCACCAAAGACGACTTGTCCATTTGTATTTTAGATAAATCTTTTGAGATAAGATAAACCGTTCTCCCAAAGACAATTAGACTATTTCTGTTTATTACAAACCATTTATTATGCCTATATTTTTGGCGGTGACGGCCGCCCATAAAGTTTGTAAGTGATATGTGTTCTGATTTGAGTGAAATGAGTGCGTAATCAACATACGTTTGCATTTATTTTTTTCATAAATAAACAGAAGCTACGTTTTTGTGCCTGTTTAACTTCTTTTGGTATAAGTAGATATCTATCGTCTGTTTTTATTATCAAATGGGGAATCTTTTATCGTTCTATCAAATAAATACACCGGTGGATGGGGAGGAAACTTCGACTTTAACGTAATTTCCCCATTTTTTGTGATTCCTCTAATTAACTCGACCGAAGCATTTTCCCTCCAATTTTTTTTGGCACTTGTTAGGTACCCTGCCCGTTGCAAGCTTATTAAATAGCGCTCTAATCGCGCAGATGGAGAATGATCACGATTCAAGCTTCGAATGATTATCACTGTTGAGGAATCGTCAATAGTAGCTTCCTTTTCATGCACAAGGCTTTCTCTGCGAGGTGCTGTTGTTCTGTTGTCCTTTTCACTTCTCCTGGACAAAACAGAAGACCTAACACGCTTGCTTGAAGACAGAGAGCGATTTGTTATCCCTAAAGGAGACATCATTTTATTTACAGTTGGTGCGCTGACGGATTTAAAGCCCAGACTCGAAGAGCGAAAACTGTTCGTTCTTTGCGCCGACTCTACAGGCTGTCCATTATCGTTATAAGTATGGAAAAGGTAGTTTGTTGCTCTTTGTCGTGTTGCCAACATATTACACTCATTTGTCGTGAACCCAGATGGAAACATAACATCAGGGCAGCTATATGCGTATCCATTGTCGGAGATCCTGCATAAACATCTCGGTGAGACGTGTTGCGGTAAATTTCTGTCACCAAGGGTGGCTGTCGATTTGAACAAAAAATAATAAAGCGTTACAGTAAAAGCTCCGCAAAAAGAGGCAGAGGCGGTGGTGTAACGGTTCATAACCTGAGTCCTTGATAGAGCTTGGTTGGATTCACTGTGTCGTTTTGCTCTCCAGCGAGAAATTTCAGTACCTCTCACAGCCATCTTCTAAAAGTATAATTGGGGTATTGGGGGAATAAATACAGAAAACGGAGCAATCAAAACCGCACGGTGTATGAATAAGCGAATGATGCGAAAGCGGTGCGGGAGCCGAGTGAGGGCATGAGGCGAGAGCGGAAAAAAAGCGATGAGCGGAGGGAGGGGTAGGGCTTGTCGCTTTTTAGCTCACTTCGCCCCACGCATGCCCATAATTGGGAGAATTAATACAGAAAACGGAGCAATAAAAAACGCACGGGGAGAAGACAACCTGCATGATTCAGAATTCTATCCGGAAGGAGTGACCATACTTATAAACTGCTGTAGCAAACCTTATTTTTCCTTTTATCAAAGCGAAAGAAGCGAAACCGGAGCGGGAGCCGAGTGAGGACAGGAGGCGAAAGCCGGCGGACAAAATAATGAGTGGAGGGAAAGGTAGGGCTTGTCGCTTTTAAGCTCACTTCCACCCCATGCCCTCGCGTGATACCTGCTCCACTAGGACCCAGGATGCCGGGACAAGCCACGAAAGCGTGAACCTCAAAGCACCAGAAAACTTTAAAAGCCAAACCTTTGTTGTCTTTGCTCTCGTGAGATGAAGAAGCTCCTCGCCTTACCCGGGGTATTGTAGACCGGGCGTGGCCCTGGATTCGAAATTCCATTCCGTGGCACTGAATTCCCCTGCTAGCGAAGTCGTTCAAAGGCATCTTGCTGATCTATTCAAAGCTAAAATGCAACCTGTGAATAAAATTATAACAAGCATGAAAAGGGACAAGCACTTATTGATGTCTAGCCCAATGATACTGCTGGCAGTATACCGTGTAGAAATCTCTCTGAGATATTTTTGTATTCCCATTTTAACATACTTTCTTTTCATGTTTGGACACATCCAAAACTTTCAGAACTACATAGCCCAATTTATTCAGTAAAGAGCATAACTTCAGATTTCTTCGACTCTTTCGACTGTTTCTTTCCGCTTTTAGGAGTTCATTTCTCTAAAGCGTATTAAGTGTGAACGCAGTATATATAGATATTGTGCACACTCCGAGTCAGTTAGTGTTCCTTTGTAAGGAAGGTGAAAAAATTGAACCACAGGTGCAGTAAAAGATTATGTGTTGATAAAGGAAGGTTGCTAAGAGCGGGCAAACAATGAAGGGAGACAACTATGCAAACCTGCAATTAACAACCGGATAAAAACCTTCAGGTGTTTACTGGCTCTTAATATTGGTTTGGCCTTTCCCTCTAAGATCTAACAATGGTTGAAAAAAACAACAAAACACAATTGTGGTAAAATTCTCTCCAAAGGAAGTGTCGTCTAATGATCAAAGGATTTACAAGAATTATAATTTGGTGATCAAGATATCATTTTGAGTTGTATTCGACGTGACTTGCAAAAATTTTTTTAAAGGCTTCTTTGCCCCAACCATGAGTTTACTCAAAAGAGGCCTGCCTTCCTAAGTACTTTCTCTACACCAGGAGCCCGGGCTCCTGTCTATACTCAAAAGTTGCGTACAGAAAAAACAGGAAGTGAGGCTGAGTTGTTGGGTTGTATAAAATCTCTATATTGTCGTCATCTCAGATTCCATACAAATTTAAGCATCAAAAATAAGAAAGTTTTTTCTGCAAGATGCAGAAAATAAGTATTTTCGCGACTTTTTTTAAGGTTACTCCTTCCCATCTACCATCAGATGACAAAATACATATTCAAAGAAAGCCTTCCTTCCTCTTCTCTCTCTACTTAAAATTGCGCAAAAGCAAAAACAGGAGGTAAGGCTTACTAAGTTTTCCCATTGCCGGTATAAAGTTCCTTTCCTACCCTCATCTTAAAATTACATTAAAATTTTAGGATTACAAAAACGGAAAATTCTTAACAAGATGGAGAAAATAAGTATTTTCTTCGATGACAAATTTCCCTCTGAAGTAAATGTAAAGGTGACAGGGGGTATGCGGTTAGCTTTCTTTAGTAATTGTAGTCGTTAAAATTCAGAAATAAGCGCTTTAGCGCCTATTCATTAATAATTCAATGGCGATGACGACGTAAGTGCGGAAGATATCATCTTAAAATTTACGCATGTAAGGTTTTGTGTTTAATTTACCCTGCTTTGAATGGAAAACGACCCTTTGGACCTGTTTTCAGTAACGTGTTTCGCTCAGTTTCTACCCGATATCGGTAAGAGCCTGTTACTTTCTCCCTCGGCTCATTTTCTTAAAGAAAAAAAAATGAAACATCTCTATTGTTTACTCACCGCTTGATTCTCCTTCAGTACAATTTGCAACGCTTTTTTACTGCTAAATGTACATTAGAAACCAAAACAACATTTTGAATCAGCTTCCGCGATAAAAAAAATTCGGTAAGGTGTTGTTGTTAAGCAGTGAGTTGCTTCAAATAAGATTAATTTCTTTGATATCCGCAGGCATATCAAGATTGCTGGATATTTGAAGAGTCCCAAGATCGTCCGGGAAACAGTGTTGTGTGTTGAATGGATGGACAAATTAGCACCTGTCGAGTATACTGTAAACACACCTGCTGTTGTGCCCAGGACACTTCGGCCAGTAATGAAAGCACTGGGCTTTATTCAAGATAGCGGAGTTTCGTCACGTAAAATGTGAAATTAAAACGTTACGTAGCGTTAAATTTAGTTGAGTTAAATCTAGAGTAACTTGATTTCCTACCAACGCCCAAATGAGCTACAATAACGTACTACTACGATCACAACATTATACAGATAAGTTTCTTTAGCTGTGCCGCAAAACAAAATGGTTGCATCGAAAAACATAAGGATGGGAAAATGTTTCGCAATTGTCAGACTAAGGCGAAACCCCTTTACTGCGAGACGTCAATGCCACCATATCGAAGAGGCGTAAAGTATTCGGCTTGTCACTACCGTTATCCTACACAAAAACGATAAATAGATTTAGATAATGAAAGAATAAATGAAAGAATAATTGAATGGTTGAATAAAAAAAAAAGTAAATATATGAACGAATGAATAATCGAATACTGCGGTGCAAACCTGTGTTGTTGAAGCCGTATTTTGTTGAGAAAATACACCTTTACATTCGCAACTAATAGAACTCGAAACGAAAAGATCGCGAATAATCTGGTATGGCCTAATTCTCCATAAGGCTTCCCGTATTAAAGTACTAAATTTACACATTAGAGCAAAAACGTTTTTTTTTCAGAGATTAAAAGAAATGATCTTGTCCTCTTTAGTTGCTGTCGCTGTTGTTGATGATGGAGGTGGCAGTGGCTGTTGCTGCTGGTAAGAAGGTCTGTCCGTTGACTTGGAGGTTAGGATTTCGTTTCCACAAGGAATAAATTTTTATCATTCCTATTGTCCCTACACATTTTTCTCTGAACCACACAGCAATTAAAGCGCGACATCGCCTTTATTAACAACTACCAAGGGCCCATTACTCAGGCTCCTGCAACTACGAATTATTTCAATATGCAAAGTAAGTAAATAATGAATTCATTATTAACTCTGTTTTGACTCGTCTACATCCAGTCTCTTGTACTTCGCTTTGTAAACTGCAATAAGCGGAATACACACCACGGTCGAGGAGACTAGTAACCAGTTCATCCATCGCGGGCTCGCTTGCGGGAACATAAAAGCAATGAAGAAGATCAAATTGATGACGTATACAGATAGGACCATTACACCGGAAGTGATACCTTCAGCTACCGGATATGTGCACTCTGCTGCGAGTTCCATGATGAGAGGAACAGTTCCACAAAAGAGAACGACCTGAGAGATACCCGAGGCGAAGAAGACTGGTTTTGAGAGAGGAATAATCTCCTCACATGCGAGCGATAGGACTGTTTGAGCTCCAGCCGTAGCCACAAAGAGGAATATTAAGATTGGCTTGGTGAAACTCTGAATGCGATCGGCATACCTATAAAGAATAAATAAAATAATAATAATAATAATAATGGTTTATAAGTAATCCACATGGTGGCCCTTCTGTACTAATTCACCTTAATAAAATAATATAATGGTTGAAATAAATATATGGATAAATAAATAACGTGCAACAAGATGTATAATTACATAAATAATATATAAATAATATACATAAGTTATGGATAGTATATGTAAAATTGTAAAATATTGGTGCAAGTTCGTTCCCAAGCTCGCTCTTCTTCCTCTATTTTGGAAGAGGGACCTTGAGAACGAATTTGGGCTTGCGCCACAGATGGAATCATAAAGCGCGCGCGGGTCGCACATACCTTCTTCCCCCAACCCCTCCCTGAACCCTTCCCCTCCCCCCACAAACGATGCTTCAGGCGCCTTATGTAGAAACCCCAACGTAAGTCCTTATGCTGTTATCGTTCTGGAAAAAATAATTGTCTCCTTTTTTTCATTTTTACAAGTAAAAGTAAAGATACCAACATCCCTAAGTGATATGCATTTGGCATGGAAACTCAAATAACTAAGAAATGACCTTAAATAAGTTTTTACCCTATGGCGTTAAGTGTACTCAAAATTTGTCACTGATAATATTGAAGAGTGGAGTATGACGCTTGAAAAACGTAGTGTTAGCGAAAGATAGAAATCTGACTTCTTTTTCTACTTACCATGAAAACGAAATACCAAGAAGAGACGCGACATTTGCTGAGAATCCTAACCAGCCAGCAGTCTTCTGATCAATTCCCACTCCGGAAAAGATGAGGTCCTGGACACTAGACCAACCCCAGTTTACTCCGTTACTGACACTGAATATGAGCAACAATAACCAGAATGACCGGTTTTTCAGTAACGTTTTGGCGCCAGAACAAAAATCTAATCGTCCAGCCGCGGAGGAAAGGCTTGGAGGGCTGGGCGGTTTGGCAGGAAAATAAATCAACACCGTGAAGAGTAAAACTCCCACCAAAACAGCTTCGATGAACAAGTAATCATTTATTCTTGACAAAAGAAATTTCATTTGTTCTGGAGTGGTGTGATTCCTCAATGTATCGATGTCGATGCTCTGTCCCGTTTCATATTTAGTCAAGTTGCCGTAATCAACGTCTGGGACGAGATGAGGCCCAACGATGTAGCTAAAAGCCGAGCCCAGATACGACGCCAGCGTGGCGATAGCCGTGGCGGTCATGCGCTCGTGTGGCGGGAACCATGTCGCGGACAGCACAAGCACTCCCGCGTTCTGAACCGCGGGTACGGCCACCGAGATAAGGAACTCTGCAAACGTTATAAATACTGTTCTCCATTCAGGGTGGGCCGGGATAAGTTCGCAGATGACAGCGAAGGTCTGAAGTGATATGGAACATAGCACTGCAAATCTTAGACCTAAACAATCACACGAAGAAAAATAATTAATGTTGACATATCGTGTATTTCGCGATCCTGTGTTGGTATATTTGCAAAACTTAAACATTTACCTTTTCATTTACTACTTCAATTACCAAAAATTTGTGGATCCCCCTTTGACGGGCCATCCACACAAAATAGAACCCATCTTATTTACGTGCAGTGAAATCTTACACCTTGTCATTATAATGGAAAAAATAAAACGTGTGGGTGATAATTAAGTCACTTTTATGACCCTTTTGTCGGGTAACCAAAGAAATGAACGTTTAAAGGCTAATTTTCGTATCCTTCCCATTTCATCAGCTGATTGAATCCCTTCTCTCTGATAGAGCTCTAACCTGAAAACTTTTCTTCCTTTTGAAGCGGAAGTATGGCAGATTAAAGGGCCGCAGTATCGTGAAAAACCCATGCGCATTAATGGACCATCCATAACCGATTTTATGAAGGGGACTAGGAGAGCAAAGTCCAAAATTCATAGAAAAAATGGTTCGACGTTTTTTAACAGTAACCCACTACTCCGGCCAAGTGTCTCTGACCACATGTCGGTTGCACGATGCGCTCCTATTCCTTGCAGACTTGAGACCTTCCATTTTTTTTTTTTTTTCATAAAAAAAAATATCTAGAAAATTAATTTGAAGCCGGCACAACAGCCATATTCGCTGTTTTTTTTAACTTCTTTTTCTGTTTTCAGGCGTATCGCGCCAGTGAAGTCGGAACAAGTCTAAGAGTTATACGAAAAAAATATAATTACAACGCCTGTGTTCGAATTTCGTGACCCTGTTAACAACCTCTCTGTAGAATTTGATGTTCTGAAATGATACTGGCTTTATTAACCACAGTGAAAACTCTGACATTTTGTCTCCATCAAGGAAAAGGCTTCATGTTCGAAGGTTCATAAGCATTTGCAATAGTATTTAGTGACCATATATTAAAAAATGTCGAGAAAATGAAATTGAAGCCGGCCCAACAGCCATAATCGCTGTTTTGTTTTGTTTTGTTTTTTCTATTTTCGGGCGCAAGGGGAGTCGGGACAAAGGATGAAAAAATTATAACGCCAGAGTTTGAATTTCGTGACCTTAGGCACAACTTCTTCTAAAATTTGATGTTCTGAAATGATACCAGCTATACTAACAACATTGAAAACTCTGACGTTTTGTCTTCAACAAGGAAAAGGCTTTCTGTTCGAAGGTTCATTAGCATTTACTATGGTATTTAGTGACCATTATCCTAAAGCGAAACTCAATCTCGATCGATTACCGTTTTGAAGCATACGAAGCGATCGATTCTCGTAATGCGTACAAATAGGAGCAGTAAAATAAAGCACAAAACTTACCTTTCGTGTCTAAAAGCCATGCGGACGGCACAATGCTGATAATAGATCCTAGCGCTTGAAGAGCACCGATTATCAACACGTTTGTTTTATTCCATCCGAGCACAAGTTGGCATGTCTCTTGAATCGGTGGCCAAGTATTCCACAGAATATTTCCTGTCGTGTTTAGCAGGGTAAAAATGATCAAAATGTACCATCTTCGTTTGTAAACTTTGATGCTCCCAGCCGCCATTCTGTGCTCGATATCATCGGGCGAAGAGTTAACCACGAGATGCGCTGTTTCGTCGACTTCACGTAATGACATGTTTTCTTCCCTGAAACCCGATATTGTTTAAAATATTATGATGTCGATTAATGCGATTATTCGCTTTCCTATCGTCTGAAGAGTACATCGTTATCTAGACACATATTTCTCCTTTTTTTTTCCAACTTTCTCTCTTCAATGTCATGTCCATTCAGCTTATCAGCTGGTAGTTGTGAAATACCGGTTGTTATTTATTTTAAAGAAAATTATGCAAATTTATGCAAAGCATTTTTGCAACTTTTCTTTACACCTCAGGCCCGACTGAGAGACCCTGGACTCTATCGATACCACGCACGAGGAGCAAAACTGCCACGCGTGTCCTCACGCGTGTAAATAAACGCTAGGTATGTATATGGTGTAACATACTTATTTCACCACTTGTTTTGCAAAATTCTCAGAAGGTGGCGTTTATAATTCGTCTGTCGAATTAATGAGTTAAATACTCAAATATGATAAGTACATGAACCAATATGGGCCAACATATGGACCAACATGGGCCCCTGGGAAACTTCGATGAAGGAAAGCAACACAGCCAATTCATGGCCGAAACTTACAAAATCTGCCTTCATAAAATGACGTGCTCGTATTGTGCCTTTTATTGAGTGCTTTCTTCTGAAGTCATCTCAAATAAAATTAACCAATTCAAGTTATGAATTTAAATTTCATCTGTTCATTCATTTGGTCTTCTTTCCAAAATAATTATTATCAAACTTCTCAATCCAATGTGAATGCTTGAAGAACACATCATAAATTCATTCCCACGGAAGGAAGAACTTACTTCTACAAGCCCGGTAGTCGTAAAACTTGCATTGCAAGAAATGAAGGTTTAATTACAATAATATTGTCGTGAAATCCCATTTTTTTCTTCCTACTCTATCCTCACAGTTTTCCGTCTAACTTTGTCAACAAGATGCAGAGTACAACGATTCTCTTCCTCTCTGAGATTTAATTTTGCAACTAGTTGCTCACTGATACTTAGCTTATCTGTTCAGTTTGAATTGGGAGAGCATACCAGTTAGGCTAAACAAAACCTTGATACTTAGCTATAGAGCTAACTCAAGACGATAACGGTCTAAAAATATTACAAGCTAAATTGAGGCGAAGGAGCCTTCGCTTTACAAAAGGATTTTGACATTAAAAAAGTGATCATGTTCTGCAGTAATTGCAAAAACACAACACCAAATGAATGGCGCCTCCCTTGGGTTTCCAAGGATATGACTTTTCCAAAAGACCCAACTATTTTATTAAAAAGGTCAATGTTCCTAGATGTTTTATTACCCTCAAGTTTAAGATATGTTCGCCTTTTTGTTTTAACTTGAGACTTCTATTGTAATTCAACACAAAAAATAGAGGATGACTTTGTTATTACGGTTTAAGTGGAGGTAATACCTAAAACACATGGATCTAGCCGAAAATTAGGATGCAGCAGAATTCTTAATCGCATCATTAATTACACACTGAAAGTCAGTGTTTATTGCAGACAACCGGCCCACCGTGAATAATTTTATTTTTGTATCCCGTGTTTTTAACACTTATATCATGTTCCGCAGTCATTTGCCAATTTTGGATCTACAGGCTGCATCGTGGGGGCATTTTTCGATAGGGATCTGCAATGCAGTGTTACTGGGAAAGTAGCTTGATTTAGGGTCTACTAATTTGTCGACAAGCCGAGAGGTTTGAAGGGGGTTGGTTTCTAAAGAAACCGCGGTGATGCGTCGGTGGAGGGGTGTGGGGTATTGAAAGATAATCTCGTTTTATCAACTAAATTGATAATGTTATTAAACTGGCTACCGTAAAGCTGGCATTTCGAGCGGTGCCTCTTCGTCAGAGCGGGAAAGGGAGTTTTTTCACTTTTTCTTTCAGTCAAATCCTTTATTCCCTTCGAGGGAAACACCTGGCTTGAACGATATGGGGCAATTATGTAAAACTGTTAAGATTAAGCTGGTGATTTTTCTTATCCTGAACAAAACCGCGGAATTAAGTTAGTACTAACAATCCATATAATAGGATGATCAGGAAATAACAGTCACTTGTCTTTGGCTTGGATTTCCGACCACACACTTCTGTAAGAAGATAAATGGCTGGCTTGTTTTGCGATGATCCTCATTGCATTGGCCTACATCCCTTGAACAGTGTCAAGACTGGGTTGGTAGATCAGCAGAGAAGATTGAACGTTGTGTTTTAGGTTTGTCGGTTTCATTTATGTACTGTTTTATTACTCTTTGTAATTCTAGGCACGGCCTCTGCTTAAACGAAATAGTATTGTAAGAATACTATTGTAAGTATTATGAGTAAGAAGTTAATTTAACATTTAGGGAAAAGGTAAGGGAAAACTTTATCGATTGCTCTTCATGTAAGAGAGTCATCTGATGGGGGTATAGCTTTGAGTTTATGGTTAAAATTCGGGCCTTTGGAAGTTGATGGTTCTCGGTAAGAAATTTTTCCTTTCTTTTTTTCCACCTTGATTTAGTGTACATCATCAGGAGCCCACGAGCTCACGAGCAAAGAGGAAGTAAATGAGTGATTCAGTGATTTTCCCAGAATTCAGACATCAGTGTTGTTCTCGGCACAGATCAAAATCAAATGCGCCATAAGTTTAATCAGACTACGAGCAACACTTCCCTCACGGAGAAGTTTAGCCAGTCCCAGGCGTTCAATTAGAAATTCGGGGCGAAATAGTGAACGGCGCAATAGTAGCGGAGGAGTAAAAAAGCGAGAGAGGCTTGTGTCGGGTCGCGAAATTTACATAACCCAAGCCTTCCTCGTTTTTGCACTCCTCCAAGCGTCGTTTATCATCGCACTTTTGTGAACAAGCGTCGACTTCGTGAGTCGTTTCACGGCTCGCGTCCTACTGGACGTAGGATAAAAGCGCCAGCAGAAGCTTCTGGTACAGTCCTATCGGAAAAAACTGTATTGTTATTTCCTTTGATTAGGGCTGAAATAGAGGAGACGTCTGTGCGTGTTTTACAAAAATATACTTTTTGTCTAATACCAAGTACCCACTTCTTAAAAAAACAGTATCTATTTCAAGTTCCACTTCCGTTAACACCTACACTGAAAAAACAACAGGGATGTCCGGTTATCAGCGGCCCCAGGGGAAGTTACAATCCCCTGGGGTGACTTAATACAATGATTATGTATATAACCCGCTCTTTTCACGTTTGTCATGTGAAACGGAGGAGAAGACCATGTTATCAAGACATATTTGAAGACAAATATCCTGTGCGAGGGACCGACAGAATACTTCTGTAGCTAATCTTCAGGCAGCACCCCTTTCCTGCCACTCCTCCCTCCTCTGATTTGCCCTTGAAATTGTCAAAGTTCAACCACACCCTAAGCATTTCCACGATTTGGTCACGTTTTAGCACTTTTATGTGGTAAAATTTGTTTGTGTTGGTTAGGGTTTCCTGATTAACAATTTGGGTGTCCAAATGATTCGACTCCAAAATTACAACATTGAGTGGGTTAAACATCCAGAGTCTCGGCTAGTGAGGCTGTCACAACTGCTTTGGTCTTCTCCTATAGTGTGCTCTGACAATACTACCTTGGCTGACAGTATTGCAGGTGTTGAGTTGTACGAGTTAACATCTTTTCGCTAGGTAAACAACAGTCATTTAGTAATTGGTGAGTAGGTGCGAAAAAAAAAACATTCTCTTTAGCTATTCACTGCATCGTATAACGAACTTACTTTTTGCTGCGTTTCTAATCATAGTTTATCGAAAGTGATTCAATCTACACATCACGTAAAATAATCACGTCACAAATCATCATCCCTTTCACGAGCATTGTGGTGCATTTTGCGAGCTGAATTGAGGATTTTTACGGATTAGATCATCTTCACATTTATAAGGCGCTACATAAGTATTGACTAAAATGTATTTTCGCACGCTCGCTTGATCGCTCAGATTGTTTTTTCATTTTTTTAAGCTTTTATTTTTCTCAATGTCCTTCAATGTGATAAAAATATTAATACACTTTATTTCCTTTGCAATGAAAATGTTTGGGTCCTTCTCAGAGTCAAACCCAAAATATTTCTGCCCACAAACAAAAACAGAATAAACTTTATTGTTTTTAAATGAGTATTTTTAAAAATAACTTAAATGTTGTCAAGGATCTTCAGATATTTTCTGTTACAAGTCAACTTATGCATGCCGATGGCCAAAAAAAAAACGTGAAAATATCGACCATATAACAGTTCAGAAGACAAAAATCACGAGAGTTAAATGATTCTTTAGTCGTAGATTCGGTTCTTCGGATTTTTTCAGTCGTAGCTTTTTCGAACATTGTCTGTCCTGGAAGAGCAAAAAACTGTCGCATTAGATAACTTCACTGAGCCGAAATTCTCGAAGGCCAGTTCTGAGTTCTGAAGGGAAGGTTATTGGTAGAAAAACTATCATCAAAATATTCTATAAGCTTACAAATTGTGAACATGAATGAGAATTAATTATTACATGTATGAACTATTTCGAAACTGTACCTTCCCGAATGCTGCCATCTTAGATCGTATGACGTGTCAAAGGTGTTTTCCACACTAGCGGCAACCGTACTGCTTTTATACGGTTTACAAATAAGTTCCTCTATTGTTTCTACACTCAACAACATCAATTTCAGTTACACTAAATTTGGTTTTTAATAAGGATTGTTTGCGTAATGCACGCTTAAAACTTTTCATTAATCTCTTTTGACTCGTGCAACGAACTGAGATGGAAGGATTTCTCGACCTAATCAATTTATACACGTAAAAAGATTCTTGGACTTGTTTCTCGAAAGTGAGAGCAACTTAACAGGACCGAAACCATATTTTTTTCTATCTTGAATGTAATTTCGATGTACATTTTATTGCATTGAACAACACCTGGCTGAATGGAAGGTACTTATTTTAGTGTTTGTCTACATTTCCTGTGTGGTATAATGTTTCGCGGTGATTCTAGAGTAGGTTTTATTGGTTTTGGCTTCTCCGTACATAACTTTAATTACTGTTTTCATCGGTAGGTGCACGCTACAACTTGATTTAAACCTCGTTGTTGTCATTCTTTTAACAGTACCATGATGAAAGCTTCGACTTTAGTTTTGGTGCTCTTGGTTGTAATTTTGCTTTCATCTGTGAGACTTTCCTTTGGATATCCGAAAATATTGAAAAAGATATCAGCAAACGGAAAATCTTCATTGCAATCGCGGGGAGTGTCATCCGATGGAGATGAACATCAAGGTAGGTATATTTATGCTAACAAAAAATTATTTTTATCAATGTATGGTTTTTCCAAGCGTTCGGTAGCGCTTTTGGTTTAGTTTATAACTGATTTTGCCTCAAAAACGCACCTTCAAGCAAAAAAGAAAGAATGAGACTTTAAAAAGAGAAAAAATACAGAAGCCAGACAATGTAGCCTGAAGAAGCTAAATGGCCAAAATTACATCCATAACACGCAATCTCAGATGATTCTGATTAAAAAAGGATAAAGTAATAATTCTGTCATTCACAGGACAATCAATCTAGACGTAAACTGATATAAAGGTGTACGAGAAGTAAGTGAGTCGCAATTGGTAAGCTTTTAAGAAGCGAATAGCCTTTAATCAAGGAAGTGAGATCTTTCTGGCACTTTTAGAATGGGTTTTGAGCAAGGCGATGGCGGACTGGCTTCTGAACGAAGTGTGAAGTGCTTATGTGTGGTGTAAGGAAACGTACATATAAGCCATTTAGAAACAGTCATTTTGTAGGGACGAACGAAAAAGTGAGGGGATCAAGATTGAAAACAGGGGCCACTCCTGCTGAAAACCCCGCCTATTTTATCCGGCCCGCTTATTTGTTCGCTGACCGAGAGCTTGGCACGAGCTGGGCACAAATTAGTAGTTTCACTGACTGGTTGTTTGAGAGGTTGGCGCATGTCTTCCAAACTAATCACAAAACACATCAAAGCAAATCAAATGCAGTCTAAAGGTACTTTTTACAATTAATCAAAAATTGCTCTCTAAAATGGCTCTATTTTGTTATAGCAGTTAAACGACCCACTGACCTACCTTGCGTCGATGAAAAAGACAGATACCATTGTTTTTACGACATAGTGATGGCGGATGCGTGTTTAACGAAAGTGGAGGAGATGTGGAAAAATTGCAGATATTCTTGCAACTTTTGTAAGTGCTCAGAAATGATAACTTTGCTTTAAAAATTGCGTCAGCCATAAAGACCAATAAAGGAAAAAATTATATCGAGAATTATCTACCCTGAACTGGCCGCATATTTCTTAAGATCTTCGATCACAATTATCAGTTTCGATTGTGGTTCTTTTCGATCAAAGCTTGATTTTTTATTTACTTTTTTTATTTACTTGATCTCATTCACCTCATTTATTCAATTGGTTTTATTATCTTCTTTTATCTATGGACTTATTTTTTTTTAATTTCAGGCTAGGTGAACTCATGAAGACACAACGCCTTGTTGGCTTGTGAGACCGTCAAACTATGGCATTGGAAGCGCTACATTTATAGATATTTGGAAATAAGTAACTATTAAACTTGTTATGTCAATCAGTAGGCGTAGACATCTTTGAATTTAAATATATCATTCATCTTAAGAAAGTGTGGTGTCTCTTGACTTTGTTATTAAAAGTTTGTATTCTCTTGTAGTGAACTCGTTGCGCAGAATTTGACTCATGGACTGAAGTATGCTTTCGAAACTATATCATATTTAAATTCTCCATTAAAAAGTTTTTGTGAAATAATAATTTTGACTGCGTTTTATGCTGATTCCAAAGAGTAAAGTAACTTTTTGAAACTTTTCTTCAAAGATAAATTAGTAGGAACGCTAGTTCAACTGTAATCTTATTGTAACTTTAGTTGTGTCACTTTAAATTTTCCGCTCTTTAGGGCCTGTTAACATGGAGGTGGGGGACCCCAGGTAGGTGAGGTAACCCGCCTAGGTGGGGTAACCCGCCTGTCCATATAATTTCTTATTCTATTTTGATCACGTTTACATGATAGGTGGGTTGCTGTCAGGTAGGGTAACCCTGTCAGCTGGGGTGACAATTTGCCATGTAAACGTGTCAAGGTGGGGTAACCCGCCTAGCCGGGGTCGCGTTCATGGCAAAAAGCTCAAAAGCGAAACATGTATGTTTTAAAACTTTGTACATTTCCTAGCCGTCTCATGGCAGAAATCGCCAGAAACCGCAACGGACACACAAGGAGTGTAAAATGTTCACATTTCGGAATATTTAGTGTTGTAAATCGACCATATTTGGTTTCCCAAACTATTCTGTATAACGGTTCCTCGCGAAACCAAACACCGCCTATCACAACGAGTGACACTTTCATGAATAAATACATACGTGTCCGAGAATTAATTTTTCGTCTTATTCGAGATGTGAGCTTGGGTCGCCTCTGCTCAAACTCCTTAATTGCAAGCGCAACAACCACCTTAAGAAACCTCACCCCAGCACCCCGGGGTTGTAAGATTGCATGTAAAGGCGTTTTATTTTTCGACCACGGTTACCTCCATGTAAACAGGCCCTTAGATAGGCCCATGCGTATCTCGGTTTCCTAACAACGGGGACTCTCCCCACTCCCCCTCTAAGCGAACCGCAGTGTTAATGTCACCTGCAATTCTTTAGTTTCCATCCACCGATAATTCCTCGACATGGATGTCCATCAATTGTTTAGTAGTCTTAAGAAGGAAGCTGAATGTCCACTGTGCTTAGACACAGTCAAAGAACCGAAAACGCTTCCATGCTTGCATTCGTTTTGTTTAGAATGCCTTGACAAACACACTGGATACGCAAGAAGACAGGGAAAAACGATGATCAAATGTCCGGTGTGCTTGGCTGACTTCAACATTCCAAAAAGTGATACGTTCTCTGATTTACCCACGTCGTTTCATCTCAATCGACTGGTGGATATTTTAGCCCTAAAAGATGATAGCGTGCAGATTCAGACATGCAATAGCTGCGATGATAACAGCGCTGTAACTTCGTATTGTTTTGTTTGTCAAAGCTTTCTCTGTGCAACTTGTCTTGAAGCGCATCAACGCCTGAAGGCGACTAGGGGTCACCGAAATGTTTTGATCGAGAAATTGCAAGCACAAGATGTCGAAGAATTGATTCACCGACCTGTCATGTGCACCCAGAAGTATCACGAAAACGAATCACTTGAGTACTTCTGCAAAGATTGTAACACTTGTGTCTGTATGAAGTGTGGATTCGTAAGTCATAGTCGTCACACAATGTTAGATATTCAACAAGCAGCGGAAGAAAGAAAGGTTGAAATTACAAAAGCCGTAGACAAAGCAAAGGCGGAAATTGGTGTTGTGCAGACAAAAATTGAAAGTCAGAAAGAGTTCATGAAGAAAAGCACAGACGAAATGCTGGCTGCTCAAAGTAAAGTCACGGCTATTGTGGACGAACTTGTCCGAATTTTAAGGGAACATGAAGATGCTGTGAAGAAAAGGTTAACTGAAATCAATGAAGCACAGCAAAGAGATCATGCGACTCGAACAGAAGAGTTTCAGTTAACAGTTTCCCAACTCAATGGATTTGTTGAACGCGGAAATGCTATCCTAAACCGAAACATACCCTCTGAAATTATACGAACAGAACTGACCGTCACAAGTCGGCTAGAAGAACTTTCGAAAGCGGCGCGAGTAATGATCCTTCAGCCACTTCATTTCAGTTATGTTGCAAACGAGAAACTTGAAAAATATAGGACCATTATGAAAAATTCAGGTCCAGGCAAAGTTATTGCGAGTTTAACCGATCCTGCACTATCGTTAGCGGGATGTGAACCAAAAGTTTTGGACGCAATGAAACCATGTAGCGAAGTGGTTTTCAAATTAACAACAAGAGATTCAGATGGAAATCAGATTTACAACAAAGAAGACAACGTGACCGTGCACATCAACCCACCATCCGAAGTAGAAGAGGAAAAAGAAATAAAAAATTTTAAAGATGGAAATTACAGCATTTCTGTTTATCCAAAACTCGCATGTGATATTGTGATTAAACTGAACGGGATACCGCTGACTCAGAAAGTAAAGATTGCGCCAGAGGAAGACTTTACCTCATATGTCGAGCAGGAGTTAGACCCAAGTGAGATGCTGACTGCTAATTTTTCGCATGGTATTGTCCCAAAGGAAACCACAGGAGATATTGTAGTGCGCAAGAAACGGCACACCCCGAAAGTAAGGATTTTGAAGTATGATGACTGTACCAAAGATTTCGTGCGTGGATGCGAAGCTTCACAGCAGCAGTTTGGCCGTAGAAGAATAGACAATTCTAACTTTTCACGTGGTACTGCCCAAAGCAAAAAGACAGGAGATAATGCAATGAGCAGGCAAAGGGAGACCCGAATAGTAAATACTGCATCCCGTGAAGACTATACCACAGATTTCGCGCGTGATTGCGAAGCTTCACAGCGGGAGTTTGGCCGTAGTGAAATAGACAATTCTAACTTTTCATGTGCTATTGCCCAAAGCGGAAAGAGAGGAGATAATGCAGTGAGCAGGCAAAGGGAGACCCGAATAGTAAATACTGCATCCCGTGAAGACTATACCACAGATTTCGCGCGTGATTACGAAGCTTCACATCGGGAGTTTGGCCGTAGAGGAATAGACGATACTAACTTTTCATGTGCTATTGCCCAAAGCGAAAATAGAGGAGATAATACAATGGGTAGGCAATGGCAGGCCCGAACGGAAAATGCTACATCCCATAAAGACTATACCACAGATTACGCGCGTGAATACGACGCTTCAAATCAGGAGTTTGACCAGAAACGCATTCGGTCTCGCGGAAGGCGAAGATGCAGTGAACAGGCAACCGCAGACCTGGATAGTGAAGACTGCGTCGCATGAATACTGTACCACAGATTTTGCATGTGAATGTGAAGCTTCACAGCAGGAGTTTGACCAGAGAGGAATAGATGATTCTAGCTATTCGTATGGTATTGCCCAAAGTGAAAAGACAGGAGATATTGCATTGAGCAGGAAACGGCAGACCTGGAAAGTAAAGACTGCACTGCATGAATACTGTACCACAGATTTTGCGCTATTGCAGTGAGCGAAAATATTGTTGATGGGGAAAGTAAAGATTGAGTCACACTGTACTGCAAATGTCCTGCGTTAATGCAAAGCTTCCCAGCAAGAGTTTGACCTGAGAGGAAAAGGGAATTCTAACTTTCTGTGTAGTATTGCCCAAAGTGAAAACACAGGAGATATTACAGTGAGTAGGAAATTGCTGACCCAAAAAGTAAAGACTGTGTCGCATGAAGACTGTACCACAGATTTTGTGCCCGAATGTGAAGCTTCCTAGCAGGGGTTTGACATGAGAGGAAAAGAGAATTTTGACCTTTCATGTAGTATTGCCCAAAGCGACAGGAGATATTGCAGTAAGCAGGAAACTGCTGACAGGGAAAGTAAAGATTGCATCACATACTATACCAAAAATTTCAAGTAGGGCAGTCAGTAGTTTGACCTGAGAGGAGAAGGGAATTCTTACCTTCAGTGTAGTATTGCCCAAAGCCAAAGGAGATACTACAGTGAGCAGGATACCGCTGACCAGGATAGTAAAGACTGCATGACACACTGTACTGCAAATGCCAGAGGCTGTTAGAGATATATCATCTGCATATAATCTAATAGAAAAATAAGTATTTAACTCAGGAAAATCATTGATTTGGATAAGAAATGAGAGAGTTCCTAATATGGAACCTTGAGATATGCCAGAGAAGGGTAAGGAAGGTAAAAGAATTCAATCCTACCAATGCATCAACCAACGTGTTGGCCAATGCGTCAGACAACAGTCAACCGACTGTTGGTTGACATGTTGGCCTTATAACATGCAAGATGCATCTTTGGTGTGTCAGTGGTGCATCGGTGACTTTGTTTAGGCCTTATTTATCTAAAGCATTGGTAGGGTGTTGGTGATGTGTTGGTAGTGTGTTGGCTGATGCATTGGTGGGATTGGATTCTTTACCTTTACCCAGAGAAGATTAGATGAAAATCAAATGTAACACCATGTACATAAACTTATTATTTGTTACAGCATAGGTAAGATCTAAACCAATTTACTTCACGTTGGTGCAATCCATAATACTTAAGTTTCTCCAATAAGATAAGGTGGTTAACAGTATCAAATGCTTTACTAACATCTAAGAAAAAAGACACCATACTATCAAGGAAACTACCTTTAGAAAAAATCTGATCTGAATTTCTTAGAATCAAAATGACAGAAATTTCTAAATTTAATAACATCAGGAAAAGGACTAAAATTTGGGTCACATAAAATACTGGTAAATGGTCTGCAATCTCAATGGCAAGACTACTGCTTGAGCAAGAAGTTGAATAATTAGTTAGAATGTGGTCATTACAGCACTAGGACAGTTCAGTGAAGTGAGTTGCTTTAAAATTAAGTGACTAAAACCTTGAATTAAATTGAGATGTTCCTTAGAAATGATATATTCTTAAAAGTATTCATGTATATCACCCATAATTATGAATTTTTTTCTTTCAGACTCTGAGATAAATGTTATATGGATTTGTCTCTAATTTATCTAGAACTTTTGTGTTAGAATACTTTGGTGGTTTCTAACTTCGGATTTGGTAAAAGTTTAAATCAGTCTCACAATTGAACCATGTCTCTGCGCATTCAATAAAGCCCAAACTAATAGAGATTGAATCCAGAAGAAAATTCAGTAGCTGAAAGTGCTGATTCAGACTTCTTGTATTCAAATGAATGACAGACAATTGAGGCCTTGCAGTGAGAGATGGCTGTTTAATTTCATCTATTGTGTAAATCCCACGATCATTTAGTATTTGTAGGATCAGAGGACTTATGAGTCCTTAATTAGCATACCACCACAAACTTAGCAAATATTTGAGTTTGGTTAAGGTGAATTAAATAAAAGAAATATTAGAAAATAATTGATAGTACAAGTGTCAATAAAAGGGGACTTACTAAAAAAATACTGCAAGAATGCATCAGGTTGATTAAATTTTTGAGGCTTCGTAGAGCTCACCGTTGATGTATAAATTTCCGTGGTATTTGGTACATAGGCTCATATTCTCCTTCACTTTATCTTTAAGAGATGGTATGTCTCTTTGTATTGAGATTGCTTCTTTACATTGATTGCTTCTTGACAGGACTTCTATATTTTTCGCTAATTGTCGCATAGTTCTTCGTCTTACATCAGCTGTTTCAGATAGCCAGCCTCTTAGGCTGTGTAACGCAACGCCAAATACTCTCGAGTTATTAGTCATGATCATCACATTTAGTTCAGGGATGGATGAGAAGTAATGGAAAAGCATGAATCCAGACATAATTTCAAAACATTGCAATAGTCATCTATTTTGATAATTTTAGGTTATTTCATCATTTTTTTTTTAATTGAATAAATGGCACGTAATTTGTCTCGTCCGTATCCCTTTGTCCGATCCAAGATTTATTTTGGAAATGCCAAATGATTGGCGGGTTCTTCTGTGACAGTCCCAAAGGACCACGTTGTCATGGAGTTTACGCGCTAACTGAGCTGAGAGGAATGACTTTTGCGGCGAAGAGCTGCTCATTCATCTGCCGAATTAAGTAAATTTTCTCGTCGGAATGCATTTAAAGTATCCAAGGAAGAGGGATTTCTATAATTGGGAAGAGTTACGGTAGGTTTAAAAGCAATGTTATGAAACTATCGTTTTTTCCAGCAGTTAGCATCCAGCAGCTAGCATCCTGTTGATCGAATTGCAATAGCTTTGTTCTCGAATCTTCTTTCTACTCATTGGATTCGTTCGATTGCGTTGTAATTGGGCACAACTGACATCAACACTCTTATTTTTGTTTTTTGAATCAAACAGCTGTCTGGCAAAGGCTTTGGGGGTAAGTTCTCTTCATTAGATGACTTATTTCATTTTGCAACCCTCAATTTACACGTCGTGAAGACAACAAAGTAGATGTTCTTTTCGGGTTTTCTTTGTTCTTCTTTGTTCGTAAGGGGTTGTGAAAGCTAATTCCAGTGTGTAAATAATTTTCTTTGCATTTCGGCTCCGATAATCCTCATTTATTTATTTATTATGTACTGGTAAAATGTGTTTTTAGATTTCTGTGAGCTCAGGATTGGGACGCAAACTGTTCGTCATATAGAAAACACCGGATGCACGGACAGAAGTAATTAGTCTCGAATTAGGTGACATGGTAATTTTTGGTCCTCACTTATAATATTTTTCTTTCACATGTAGTTTAGAAAGGATCTCTTTCATAAAAATGTTCCCCAGGAACTTGAGAAGGATAGATCCAATGGCCTCAGCACAAAGGTATGTACATGAGAGGCTGAGAAGCAAGAGGAGACATCTTACTTTTTACCTCTGCGAGGGTAGATATAATATTCAGATCATTAAAGCATCCGAGACCAAGCTGAAGTGTTTGTGGGTTTGTTTGGGGGGAAGGGGTGGTCCAAGGGTTCCTGTAGCTCCCACCTTGGCTAAAATTATACTTTGAAGTCAGTAACACACAAAACTGTAAATTCAGGCAGGAAAAAAAGACAACAACATAATCTGAGGAATCTATGCTGCATGCATTACTCTTTGCGCTTGTAACAAAATGTCATTTTTAGTTAGACACAACATGACAGTGATGGTCGCAAAGGTACCTTGGATGGTACTTGGTGTAACCCCCCTTTTAACAACCCAAGCTGCACCCGTGTACATTGTTAATCCTTCATATTAGTTCCACAGATTTAAGAAATTTTTTTAGTTGATAAGTGCCTTTAGTTCTTGGGCAAGGACCTAATAGATGCTTTCTCCTAGTGCCTCTTGCTACAAGTTTAATGGGCTGCCACAAAGACTTGCCAAATGGTTATTATTAGGGAGGGGGACTGGGAGAAGCCTGTAACATACTTTTTAAGTATCCCTTCCTTTGTAGAGTAGCATTACTCTTAGTTCCTTGGTATTTCACTAGCCAGAAAAAACTTAAGCAGCCATGTGAATCAGTCACATAGATAGATTGTCTTTATTTTTAAAGGAGACAAAAAATTTGACTTATGTTCTTTTCACTTTTTTTCATTGCTGGCTTATCTTTGCCTAGTCCATTTCAAACATGCTGGATATCAAGTGTCTCCATGGTGACATTCACCGTACATACAATATGCATGATGCACTGTACAACTCAAGAGTCATAGAGAAAGCTGTTGAAATGCTCTCAAACAGATATTTAAGGTAAACTGACATGATACTGATAATCTTGGGATAGGGTGAGTAATTGTGTAAACAATCTCTGTAATGGTTGCTAAAAACAGTCAGTTGAGTGATTGTAGATAAAGTACACTAGTTGCTCAAGTTAGATGAAAGAGATAAAATGGAATAAATTGGGTAAAAAATTTATTTTTTACACTGTTAGTGATATATATATATATATAAGGTGTATCTCACAAATTTTATTTTTAAAAATTTAAAGAATCACAGGATTGGGTCTGACTTTTATATATTTTTATATTTCAAGGCTTAAGACTCTGGGAAAAGGAAATTCCAGTAGTTGCCATGAAATAAATTCTGAAATTTATGACAAAGTGAATGGTTTTTTTTTTTTTAATATCATGAAACATTGGTATATGCCTAAACAGTGGATAGCGTTGAAGGCAAGCTCTGATTGGCTACGCAAACTCAGAATATCCTTTTCTAGTCTCTTGTTAGCAACTCACACAAAATTTGCATCTGGAAAAGGTTTTAATTTTTGCAAAGTTAAAATCATCTTTTTGTGCTATATTGTGTCACTGTTTTTGTATATTCTGTAACAACAATTGACCTCCTCTTTTGTGAATATATGTAGTTGTAAATTATTGTGATCATTACACCTTATTACGAATAATCATTAGATGTGATTTCCCATAGATATCTAAAATATACTTCTTAATACCAGACTTTGACCCCTCTCCCTCTGAAAATCTGTTAAAGTTCCAAACTTTTTCCACATCCCTCTTCCCTGAAATTTTTAGTGACTCTCCTCCAACTGGGGAGGGATATTTTTCAAATCCATTTATTAATAGTTAAAAAATTTGTCACAAAGTTAGAAAACAATTAATCACAACTTTTTGTCTCAGTTTTCAGGAATTAAGAGAAGTTCGTGTAGCTTTTCAGTTGTATGAACATGAAGACATGCTGGGTTTGGTTACTGATGAGCACACTTTACTTAGAACTTTGAAGGTGATGTTTATTTTTATCTCAGTAGGAATTCATGATACGCATGAATAAAACTAAACCCTTCACACCCTGACATTAGTATGTATATTCTCCATACTGTTCTTGCTATATTTTCTAAGTGATGACAAAGAGAATTTGTTCAACAATCAAGAGCTTCTTTAGTTGGTGATCATATCCTTTATTCTCATGATCTTAATGTTTGATTCAGGGATGATATTGTAAGGAGAAATTGGAAGCTAGTCACTCTTAGGGATTTAAGGGTTAAATGCTCTTGATAATAATAACATAGTTTCAAATAATCTTTTTCTCCCTTAAATAACAATATTTGCATTCAACAGAGAAAGCCTGATCTTGTGTTTGATATATGGGTAGTCCTCCTCTCTTAAATAGTGAATCTGCATTATTTTGATTTCAGATCTGTGGAAGAGCTGTTTCACCGGTAAAGCTGAAGCAACATGTGAGTGGAGCTCTTTTAACTTGTTTTAGATTTATGACTAAATTCATATAAATTCTTGTCAATTTTAAATTTTTTTATCAAAAATTAAAAGTTTTAGAAACCAATATGTGATGAAATCAGGAATACTAATTTTGATTCAAATAAAAGTTGATTGAAAGCCAGTCCTACTCTTAAGCTTGTGTACATATTGCATGCCTATCTTTTAAGACATTTGTGGGTTTTTTTTTTTTGCAGATCAAACACATGAAAAGACAAGTTGCTGATCGTGTGATGCTTTATGAATTCTTGGATCTCTTGCTCTTGTGAGTAGAAGACTTAATAAAACATTGAAGGAGCTGCCTTTTTTCCAATAGAAAAGTAATAATCATAAATCCATAACTGTTTTTTTTCTTCACTTACAAGTTAAATTTTTCTTTCAGATCACAACTGATTTCTTTTTTATTATTATAAAGTTTTCAATTAGACTGATTTACATTAATTTAATTTTAACTATTCCCTGTTAGTTTCTGTGCCACTTGTTTCTGATACTTTGTAGTGAATTGTGTTTGAATTATAAGAGATTTGTGACAATCATCAATGGCTTAACTGTAAGGTTAATCATCACTGTGTTTCAGGTGTGAACGGGACACTGAAGTGCAGCTTCAACCTCTTCCACAAGTCACTGGTGTGGACAAGAATAATTTGTACAAGGTACAGACTGAATATGACTTTCTACAGAAATGCTATTTTTTGTAATTATTTGAACTGTAACTATAATTGCATTCTTAAAAATTAGCAAGGTAAAATTAATTCTAATTATAGTTTGCATTTTTTGGGTGTTGACATTGTTCTCTGTGTCAGCTGTGTGATTTTCAAGCAGTCCTTTGCACAGAAGATGAGAAGAAGATTCGTCATTTAGACACTTTGTATGAGGTAAAATTTTGTATTATGATAGTGATATGATGATGATCATAGCAAAAATTATGATATTAACAAAAAATATTAAAAAACATGTATGTAAACTATTTAGATTGCCAGAGAGGATGCCCACCTCCTCTCACATGTATTTTATGTTACACTATTAACTGTCTTTTTTTTCATGCCCCATGCACAGTGACGCAAACATTCCCCTAGAAAATCTCAAGAATCTTTTAAGAAGAGTTTGCACATTTTCTCTCTTCTAGCAAGGATCTGTTAGATCGAGTATGAGCCATAACAAGGATGTCCCTTCATGGAGACTTCTACACCAGGATTATTTTGTGGATAGTAACCCAAGAATAGAACTGGTAGGGAAGCTTAATGAAAGTTTGCTTGTTTTGCTCAAATGTTCATAATGGGTGGGGAATCTATCATGCCATTACCATGAGTTGTAAAGTGGAACAAGGTAGTGTTTGAGCTGCCCTCTTTCACAGTGCATTCTTTTTCACAAGTCAAAGAAGGAAGAAAACTAATAGCAAATGGCAAAGGTTTTGAACAAATTAGTTTGCACTGCACTATGTTGTAATAATGATTCTTGATTTTTTGTTGATTTCTTTTGACTTGTGCAGTGTGACTAAACTCAAAATAAGGGGTGTGGACTTATTGTCTCAGAATCAGGGGTGCCTTTTGACTCCTTGTCATTTTATTAAGGAATAACTTGACTCATGTGATGATACACTACAACCTTTTCTTATCCACAGCAAACAAGAAAGGAAACATAACAGATTTTGTGAATCTTTCTAAGTACCTGCTCCTTATACTTCTTCAAACTTCTTCTAGGTTAGCAGGCAACAGCAGAGATCCTTGGAACTTTGTGATCATTTGGATCACTCAAATAAAAAGGTACATTTAACGAAGAGAAATGTTTGGTTGTTGTTACCATGAACTTCTGTATACATCATGACATGAAGCCATATACTGTAGGTATGTAATGTGTGCTGAGAGATACTGACACATGTATACATTTAGTCTGCTAGTTTTATGTTGTGGCTCAACTTGTTTTCTTGGCATAAATTGTTTCCTACCAGTTTGTTTTTTATTTTTCTTTGGCTTGTAATTATGTGATAAATTTTGAATCTAGAAAAAAATTAAATTAGAACCTGTGCATACATTGCCTTACATTTCTGCTTATTTTTGCCAGGTGATGCATGCCAGATGTGGCTATACAGGAACTTCCCGAAGAACTGCTTTTGTTGACCTCAATGATGTCAGTAGAAAATTAAAGCCACTGGAAAAACCTCCCCTCAAATTTGTAAGTTATCTGAGAAATTTGACAAAAATCAATCAAACTCTCCTTGCTGGTATCATTCATTCTTTTCATGATGTGGTATGCTGGGTATCATTCCTTGTCTCAGATGTTCAGGTACCTTAAGTGCTGTAACTGATCATATAATGATATGTGATTGACATTTCTTTTTGGCAAAATCCAAGAATTGTTATGACACAGATGCCCTGGTTTAAAATCAGACACCTTGAAGACATATCTGCTAATTAAAGAATGGCCTGAAAACTTGGAGAATTTCATCATGCATTTGAAAAAAGTTGAAAGTTTATTAAACCTACATAAAATAGATTTATGTCCATGGGACATTTTTTTAAATATTATGTTGATTATCAATCTCTATTAATATTAGAAAGCCCAACAGCACAAGGAAGAAGTTGAAGGTAAGAAATATTATCAATTTTGTCACAAATAATTGGTTCAAAAATTGGCTTGTGGTGATTAGTTTTCTGAACCCTTATTCAAGGTAAATTTAGGCTAGAATAGCCAATTTCATTACCAAGCCTCAGTGAGTGTTTTCTCTTAGTATTTTAAGCACTACAGGTAAACTGAAATTTTCAAACCAGTAGTCAAGAGCAATCTTTTAGCTGTTGAGTTTTCAAGAATTTCAAGCAATCTTTGAGTAATAAATTACTAGGTAGGTGGTAAATATTACTGGTTACCACCTGAAAGGGAGAACACTGAAGCCTTGCAGTAACTTTTTTGCTTGTTCCTATGACATGACTGTTTGCAACAGGCTTTCAAGAGTGTTTCACTTGTCCAAAACCCAATTTCAAGAGGTCTCATCAATGATAGTTATTGTCACTCGGCTGGTATTCACTCTGATGTTTGTGCATTTGTAGATGAAGGAGTTACAAAAGAAGAGGAACAACACCAGAAAATTGACATAACAAGATTAAGTGCTTCATCAGTAGGATCTTTCAAGTTTTATAGAGAATTTGATGGAACCACTTCAGCAAAGTTATCAAGGACTTCAAAACTTGGACATCAGGGAATCCTAGTAACTCCAAGGGTAACGAAATATTTGATTGTACAAAGGCTGTTATTTCTAATCTAGGTTTGAATTTTTAGTTTATTTTCTATATCTCCTTACTGTGCTAAAGAATGCATGTCGGAGAGTCTACATTTCAATTCCTTTTTTACTTGAATCATAAAACTCCCAGGAGTGACCAAAAAGGAATTTAAAAACAATTTCAAGCATAAAGGAATCAAGGAGATAAGAATAATATCAACTTGGGGAGTTTTTAAATTTAACATCAAATGCTCGGTGCCAAAATGACAAGAAATGGATGGCAGACAGGGTGAAGAATTTATTGTCAAATCTTGAGAGTGAAGGGTTTATGTAAATCAAATTGGCGGAAACATAACACATTTCGTAAAATAACTGTCTAACGTACAAAAATTTAGAAAGCTATCAGCTTACGAGCAATCCCTCATTGTTAGCGCCGCAGGACGGTCGTTTCTCCGCCTGCAAGAAGATTTGAGACAAGTCGGGGGAGAGGTTCGCTAGGAGTCTGGCACTAAAAGTAAGGCTACACTCTTTGCGAACTTCTCGCCAGCGCGCGTTGCTCAAGCGGGCCAAATACTTTCATACAAAATAATAACGTTCGTACTGGAGCGCTGATAATGAGGGCCTGCGAGAAAAATATAAATCAAAGACTTGCATCTAACAGAGGGTCTAAAAATGGGTTACCTTGATCACGTTTTGAACAAGCCAGTTCAAGTTAAGTTTTTTGAATTTGTTTATCCTCATAGGACCTCTACAATTCACATGTGATGTCACAGAACTTACAGTGGGACATGGAAACACAGGTTTGTCTCTTACAATCTGCCATGCTTTCATATATATCCAATCCTAATGGCAAAAACTTGTAAGGTTATCAAAAAGTGGATTATTCTAAGTGACAGGTTACACAATCCATCTTTTTTCTTTGCAGTCCCAAAGGTTAAAACAAAGAAGTGATAAACACATGAAGGAGAAGTACTCTGGTTATTACAAAAAGCTGAAACTGTTTCAAGATCCTAGCGAAAATCCGGAAAATGAAGGTAATCGAGGTATTGTTGTTGATGATCTCACTGGCAAATATATTTGATTATACGGAAATTCCCTCTTGAATTGTGAAATCAGAGATTGTATTGGTTTAATTTTTTTAGCGTTCCCACAGGTAATATTTGTTGACTACTCGCCAATCAGAATCTTTGTTCTGTCAGAGAGCTTTTTGATTGAATAACGTTGAAACAATATTATTTACATGAGCGCTATTAAAGCAGTGTTCTCATGACGTCTTTTCTGGTGACATTCCGCAGATATCAATTTGGTGTCTGATTTTAACTTTCCACGCACAAAGAACAGCCAATCATAAGTACCAACTGAATGACGATCAGTTTTATCTCTGATCTGTGTACATCAGAATGTAACTTTCCTTTTTGAATACGATTCTAAAGAAAAAGAAAATCAGTGTGTAGTATGTTCTGTTTGTCGAGAAAGTTACAGATAATGTTAATAAACTAGCTGATTTATTTAAGCGCAAAACACTCTCGTTCATTTATGTTACTTTAACTGATATCCATGCTGTTATTGAGAAACATTTGCTTGAATTTTAGGTTCCAGGCAGTCCAAGGTTAAGGTATTTATGCCATTTTATCATTTTAGGCCAGAGGCCAAGTTGACGAAGTGTAAACGACAGTGTGCTTCAAAGTGAATTTGTGCGATTGCTGCATTTCTTATTCTGAAAATCTCTAGGCTGAATTCTCCTTTGATCCCTCTCCTTGGAAAGCTCGCAGTATTCAGAATTTGAGGAGCAGGCGGTTAAAATTTAATAGATAAATTGTTATTAGTGATTCAAAACGGCGCGCTAAATTAGCGACGAGACTCTGCGCGCTAGCCTGTGTCACAGTTATTTCCGTTTCCCTTAAGTCAAGCGCGTGAGTCGTGAGGTGATCATAAGTCGTGAGCAGGCCCTTTTCTTTTGGTCTGCCATGGTATTTATCAGGTAGGAAGTGAGCTGCTAAAGCTAGATTTTCCAATGTTTCAAATGCGTGTCACTCTCAAAAAGAGAGTGACAGTACAACCTCGTTTGTAAGGTCTCTCTCGTCTTTTCTCTTCGAAAGAAACGAGGCTTCAGAGAACGAGAAAGCTCCCTCCAGCTTTCGGTGCAGGGAAGAGAGAAAGCCTGGGCCGACGAGGTTGAGAGGTAGTACTCTAATGTATGTTTGAATTCGTGATCTAACAGGAGATGCCAGAAAACAGTACAACTGCGGTCAAACCAGCAGATTCCGCTCCAGTAGAACTAGTCATTACACCACGAAAACAAGTTCCGGAATTAGATTCAATATACAACACGTTAATGGAGAGATTACAGAGAACGGACACCTTGTTAGACTTCGGCGAAGTCCGAGTTCAGGAATTTGGTTCATCAATGCCATCCAACATCAGCGATGGTCATTCTCTGACGACCCGAAAGTTGCGCTCAGAGCAAGTGACTCCCCAGAGGTTTGGAATGACAGGGAAGGTTCGACTTCAAAGACTGGGTTCCCTGAGGTCAACTCAACCGAAGGAGAGTGATGCTACAGAGAAACAAGACGAAGTTGAACAATTGCTGGAGAAACTTCAAGAAGCAAACCATGTAGCGAGTGGTAAAAAGGGTTTTTTAAATCCAAAACCCTTCGTTTTCGCTAAATGATGAACAATTTTTTGACTCGACAGAATCACGCACAGGCTACAAAGTTGTGCAGGGGTGTGTGTCAATATTGGATTTGTGCGCTCTCCTAGTGATTGGATGAGAAGACTCGCGTGCCCCTCCTCCCGACCAATCAGCAGACCAATTAGATGCCTTAGCCTCTCTTTGCTTTCCACGCTCGAAGCAGTTGCCGACATCGCTTTACGTTGAGTTCTCATAAGCTTCTTTCAACTTTTTTCTTCTTTTTCTGACTGGCAGGTGTAGGTACATAGTTTTGGTTTTAAGACACACTCGAATTCGCTCTATCTTGAAACAGAAACATTTGGAGGTACAAGAATCCTGTCGTTTGTTTCAACAATTTAACCCTCGTAATGCAAATGACCTCACATGAGAAATTCTGTGTAAGAATTAATAGCCGAGAGAAATGTATGTAGAAATTTATCAAGAACACCTTAAAACACAATTGAGTTTCTACTGTAAAAATGTGTATATTTTTTCAGAAAATTAGAGTTTTAGCAAATATTTAACTTGTATTGTAATTCTTAAAAATATTAATGCACATAAATGAAATTAAAAATTTGATACGCAAAATATAAAGACGCAAATTGTAGGCGCTTGACTGATCATAACCCCCCCTTTTTGCCCACGGTAGGTGCAATACCATATTTGATATTTTTGTTTGAACTGTTACCTCATATTCTGGCAAAAATAGCTTCTAGGCTATGACAATTTATATGATTTATACGAATCAGTGTCGTGCGAGGTTGCGCTTGGCGCTGGCGTCAACTATCCTTTCAGAGACGCGTTAAGACCCCTCTAAAGTTTCTCTTCATACCAATGGTTTGACTTCGCCGAAAAGTCTACTCGCTTAAAAAGTAACAAATCAAATAAAAAGTTCCACCGTATATCCTTTACTACTTCGCCGTCCTCGAAATCAAGCAAGCCACTGTACTTTTCTTTTCGTATTCATACGATTAAACGTCGCAGCGTTTTCTTCAAGAGCGGTGTCCATTTATTTCTGATTCATATTTCTAAAATCACTGACATCACAGTCGTAAATAGAAAGTAAAATAGACTGAACATGTTCAAATTCTAATGTTTTGGGTTTTTTTTAGTTGCTAAAAACTGCAAGGGCTCTTTAAAAGATGGTTCATATTGTCGGATAGAGCCTTACCATGGACAGATGGAGCTCATACCTGATCGTACCTGTAATATTCCAATAAAGGCCGCTTTCTTATGACTTGATGGGGTGTTTATTCGAGGTTTTGTTTTGTTAATTTTGTTTTTTTAAGTGTGGCCAAATCAATGGGCGGCTTTTAATCGAGTATGACGGTGATGAGCAATTTCACGCTACGACAAGAGTTCACAAAATATTCTTCACCTCAATCCCCCGCCACGCTAACAAATAAAATATAATTGAAAAAAAATGTGAGGAATTTCGAACTTTCTGAGAAAATACAATCCGCGAAATATTGCAAGATAACCTGCCTAGTGCCATAAACCTTATTCTAGCTCCGAAAGGCATAACTTCAGGTAGTTCTTAGCCTTCAGAGCAGGCGTAATTTTGGCGGTCGAGTGCTCAGCATCTTCTTGGCGAAAGTTATGGCCGCTTCTTAGGGCGGAAGACTAAGGAGAGAAATAAATTTGTACCAAGAGGGTGAGTGACGGTCAAAAATAAGCAGAGGATTGGGAGTGGGGGAGTGCAGGGCAGGCGTAATTTTGGCGACTGTCGACTCTATTTCCAAACAGACATGGACGGTTGAATAAACGTTCACGAGCTTCCCAGCGCCAACTCGCCCTAATAGGACGCCTATGCTGTAGGTTAGGGAGTTCTTGTCTCCCCTCCCACTCCCCCGGTACGTAACAAAAACCGCTTTATAATTTTTGACCAATCCGGAAAGAGTTTACTGAAACGTTCGAAATTCAAATTTGTTGTCGTATGGATGCTTGGCCGATCAATCGCCTAATGAAAGAAAGACAAGGAGAGAATTTTAAAGCGTATTTTAAATTATAAAAAGCAAGATGGTCCAAAACTCTGACAACTGTCTCCGTCGTAAACGATCGTCAACTGCAAGGCGATCACAAGTGAACGGTGTAAAAGACAAAAATAACAATATGAAAGTTGTTGTGCGAGTAAGGCCTGCGAACGAGATGGAACTCTACAAGCAATCTTCCACGGCTGTTCGTGTTATGGACGAAAGAATGCTGGTTTTTGATCCAAAAGAAGAGTCTGTAGATTATCTGTCCGGCGATCGACCCCGAAGGCAACCACAGTTCCTGACGCGAAGAGCTAGGGATTTGAGATTCATGTTTGATCGAGTGTTCGATTACGAGTCCAGTAACAAAGATGTCTTCGAACACACAACTAAAACGATCGTAGATGGAGTTCTTGGTGGCTATAACTGTTCTGTGTTCGCCTACGGAGCGACAGGGGCAGGAAAAACTTTCACAATGTTAGGAGATCAATCTAACCCTGGAGTAATGTTTCTAACGATGATGGAATTGTACAGCAGAATCAACGCTTCGAAGGACGACAAGATCTCAGACGTAGCTGTCTCGTATCTTGAGGTACTATATGTAAATGTATAATACGTGTTCAACCAAGCCAGAAGGACCAGTTCTTTAAAGGAGAGTCGAAAGTTGTATACAACTTTGATTTGCAACTTCACTGCCGGTAATACAAACTTATCATAAATCAGTGTGAGACCCTGGCAAGGGGAAGACGTAATGAGCTCAGGGATTCTCCCTTTTCACTGACAAGCAGAGATGAGGGGCTGTGGTTTTCAGGGAAATGGCCAGGTAACCCCAATTATTTTATTTACCTGACCCCTGCAATTTCTCATGTGCCTGCTTTTTCGTTCATTTCATCGCAATGAGGACCCAGCCATGAAGGCTACACAGGCATGGGCAGCATTTTCACTTTAGAGGTTGTGAGGTGCATATACCCCCCCCCCCCCCCCCCCTTAGGCTTCACTCTTGTGTGCTGTCCAACAATTTTTGAGATTTAGAGGTCGTTAACACAGGCAGGAAAGACATATACATGTACAGCTGTATGGTACATGTATAGTGTAGGATCCAACTGTAAGTTTGATTGTTGCCACTGCAGGTTTACAATGAAACGATCCGAGACCTCTTAATGCCTGGCAAGCCTCTGGCTGTGAGAGAAGATCCACAGAGGGGAGTGTGTGTCAGTGGCCTTACACTTCACAAGGTAAGTGGCCTTATTTGCATTACATTTCATCCCAAAAAGCGAAGTCATCACCAATTTCTGAGCAGTGTTGTTAAAAAATTACCTATTGCTATTCACCTGTCTCCTTTAATGTGATCATTAAGGTTGATATGCATGCAGTGAAAACAGTGAAAGGGCCAAGACACTAGTCCCTCTGATATTTCTCACCAAGGGCCAGCCATAACTTAATGTTATGAGTCTCCAAGATTTTAACTTTTACCAAAATAGTGAAACACATTTGATGTCCTGGCAGGCCAGGTGCAACAGGGACTTTGGATGATTAGAGCCTTTGGATGATTAGAGCCTTTGTGCACTGGCCAATTCTTCCACAGTACAGCCTTTAAATTTTGGAACGTGTTGGGGGCCAACTTTTCATGACCTCAACCCTCAATCCTCTTAATTTGAACAAATGAGCACAAATGGACTGGTTCTGAGCAAACTGGTTGCAAGAACAAGTCAAGTACATGTAGACCTCTCCCCTGTGTTTAAAAATTCAATAAATACTAATGTTCCTTGTCTTTTCAAGCCAACTTCTGCTGAAGAACTGCTGGGGATGCTGGAGTTTGGAAACAACAACCGCACTCAACATCCCACAGATGCAAATGCACAATCTTCAAGATCCCATGCTGTTTTTCAGGTAATAATATAATTCAGTGTTCTGAATGTCAACACAGTGCTGATTTAAAAGCTGCTAATTTGCAACCTAAAATCATAGTTGCAATAAATGGTTTCAAAATATTAAAATTTTACTCGGTGGGAAAAAAGTAGAAAATGACATTTTTGTACATTTTTTGAACATATCATTCCAAGCAAATGTGTAATACCCTCTGACTTTCACCCTCACACCCTAACATAAGTGTCCATATTCTCCATACCCTTCTCTAACAGGGAGAATTTGTTTAACAATCAAAGATTCTTAAGTTGGCAATCATAATATGAGAATATCATAATAATGAGAATATTTAATAGTGTAGTTTGAGCGTCTGGGTGAGTGTAGTCCTGAGAAGGACTGTTGTCAGTAGTGGTGACTGACGTTTTGACAACCTGAGTGGAAGTGACCGCTGATGATGACTTCTGCTCAGGTTGTCGAAACGTCAGTCACCACTACTGACAACAGTCCTTCTCAGGACTACACTCACCCGGACGATCAAACTACACTATTACATGTTACCCCCGGGTTCAAACCATTTACTGAATGAGAATATTCTCATTATTGTAATAAGTGATTCGGTAGTATTACTGTAAGGGGAAATTAAATGCTGGTCACTATTAGGGTTTAAAGGGTAAAACCGTAAATACTGAATGATTATTTAAAAGTTACAGCTTGCTTCATGACCCCCAAGTGCAGGCTGCCAATTTGGTAGCTTTTGCTCAAAATTTAATCCCCAAAGTTTTTATATTAAGCAGATAAGTGATTTAATATTTAGAAATAGATATATGGGATTCACTTGAACTTGGAAGTATTCAAACATATTCTCACATTGTATGTGGAAACATTTTTTCCTATATCATCGTGTTTATCAGGTGTTTGTTCGACAAAAGGACCGAACTGCAGGATTGCAAACAAACTTTACCATGGGAAAAATGTCCTTGATTGACTTGGCAGGGTCAGAGAGAGCAATAGTGACATCCAACAGAGGTGAACGATTCCGAGAGGGGGCCAACATCAACAAATCCTTACTGGCTCTTGGCAACTGCATTAATGCACTTGCTGATAAAGAGGTAACTCAAATTACTGTGTTGCCATTAATGAGCAGCTAGGAGCAGGCTCCCTTGTGCTCCAAGTTCATTTTATCACAAATTCACCTTTCAGTAACCTTCAATTGTAAAATGTTTGCCTCAAAAAAAATTTGGTCATAGTATGAAATGAAGTTTATCTCAACAAAATTAGTTCAACTTGATCCCTGCCCATTTTAAGTTGCTGTATATTAGGATTCTGTGACTGTTTGCATGCATTTGTTTGTTTGATAATTTGAACAAAGAATGATAAATCTTTCTTTCTCTCCTTTTTTTTTCAAATCTGTTGGTCACCACTTAAGGACTCTTGTCAAAATTTTAGTTGCTGGATATATTTTTAACTCACCACAGTCGCCAAAATGGTCACAATTAACTTGGGACACTCCCCTTGGTGAATTGGCACCACCAAGTGATCAAAGAAACTTTTTCCTGTGACTTTCCATTTTTTAATGTCTTTTATTTTTGGTCATCACAAGCGTAAGGCATTTTTTCTTAACATGAAAGGAATGCACTGTTAGCACAGGATCAATACAGAATCACTAGATAAAAATTACTTATTAATAACACTGAATGAAATG